TAGATGTTTGTTCGTTTCTGGTTTCAGAAGCCAATATGAAGGCAGACGGGCAAGTTGGCATTGTGTCATTGAAGCTTCAGAATGTCAACAAATCAATGCCTAAAAGACGCTCATGTATCAGCCTGGTATTTTGCACATTCGTGTCTATGTTTGCGCATGTGTTCATGTGCAATTGTCTTTTATGCACTTTTTTCTGTTCCATACTATCCTACTCCCTTATTCACTCTTACCAGCTCATCCGCCAAAATGTACAAAAATGACTCGATTCTTTTTTTCGCCCTTCTACTGAATTTTCATATTGAGAATGATGCCAGCATGAATTTTTAGCTTTGGCATATGGGTCTATTTCGGGATTTAGTATGCCCGGCTGATTTTTAGTCTTGACATCCTGTTTTTTCTAATTCTAACGTAGGCAACTGAAAGTAAGGATTGATATGGCTGACCACTTTCAGAAATAACCTCTGCCAGGGTCGCTTTATAGTCGCGCGCAAAGCGAAAACTCCGATCATGATTAGTCGAGCTCTTGTATCCTAAAGCAAGACTCGACATTGATGCTCCAGCCTCACTCCAGACCTGTTCTCTCGTCCTTCACTTGGCATCTCCCCCCATTCTCCACCGACACACCCACTCATTCTTACTACCATACACTTGCATTTAAAATTGCTCTTAGCCTCTGTACCACTATCTCCCATGTCTATTTAGGCCAGTCTCTCTCTGTGTGTGTATGTATGTATGTGTGTGCAAACACGATTACACACACACACACACACACACGTGTTTAGATACCTCCACACAGTGAATGCTGCTATAAACGTGCGCACAAGAACGATTAAATGTCTCCTCATATACCCAATCCTTGTCATCTTAGCGACCTTGGCCTGCGTCGTAAGTTCCGCCTGGCTCTGGAGGACCTTCGTGTGCACGGCTCTCCAGGACTGCCTCACTCTCCCGGACCTGGTAGACTCAGCGTCGACTGGATCTGTCATGTTTGGCTCACGCGCCACCTCGGTCTAGCCCATTTGGCGCCCATGTTTGCCATGCGACGGGTTGATGGACGTCTCCTCTCCAGCCTCATAGCAGCACCCTCCGAGGTGGCCTGCAACGGTCCGTTGACGACGCAGTCGGCCCGGACGGCGGCCGAGATGACGACTGATGACGCCATCCTCGCCACTGCCTATGACTCCACAGCCTCTCGGCCAACCACTCAACAAGTTGGACGGACCAAACGGCATTTGCAACTTGACGCCATTACTGACAGGGCCGCAGCCTCTCAGTCGACCCAACCGACTGGAGATGCTGAAACTACCGGCGTCAATGGTTGTATTAATGCCATCTCACAGGATATCGCTCATTCTTCAGCCTCTGAAAGACTGCATCAGGTAGAGAGAAGCAATCATTTGCGAATCTCTCGCACTATTTTCCATATTTGCCCAGTCTTATTCACTAATCGTAGCCACAATTCGCTAGACGTAATTTTACTA